GACTTGAAATTTGCACCAGACATTCTCGAAACATTAAACTTTATGAATATGTAAAAATAAAAAAATCGATTTTTTGACCCTCCTAGGTGTATATGCCTCCTTAACGGACAACGGCACGGAGTTTATTAATCGGGAGCTCGGGGCCCTCGCGGCCCAATACGGTATTAGCCACTCGACGATTTCGCCGTACCACCCGCAGGCGAATCCGGTCGAGCGAGTGAACCGCGTGCTTAAGACGATGATCACCGCGTTTCTGGAGCGGGACCACCGAGAGTGGGACCTCCACCTAGCCGAGTTCCGCTTCGCGTATAACTCCGCGTACCATACGTCCCACCGAACGACACCCGCCTTTTTAAATTTCGGGAGGGAGGCGGACCCGGTGCACCTGACCGACCCCGCGGAGGCGGTGGCGACCGCGGTCGAGTTGTCGGACCCGCGTCAGTGGGGCCAACGCATGGAGTGCATGCGCACGCTGCGAGCATGGGTAGTGGAAAACTTAGAGGCCGCGCGGGAGGCCCAAGCCCGCCAGTACAACAAGGGGAGAAGGGACCGGCAGTACGAGATCGGCGCACCCGTGTTGAAGCGGCAGCATGTTTTGTCCGCGGCTCAGCATGTCTCCGCGAAACTGGCGACCAAATTCCACGGCCCATACACCATCGCGAAGATCTTGTCGCCGGTCGTGTACGAGCTGGCGGATCCGGCGGGGACTCTCGCGGGCAAGGTGCATGTCAAGGACCTCAAACCCTACAACGAGCCCTTTGGTCCTAGGCGCCGAGCGAGGAGCGAGTGCCGCGGCGAGGTACCCACGCCACCGAGGGATACCGGGGAGGCGTATCGGCGCGATGGAGGACCGTGCCACCTTTAACCGGCGATGGGGCCCCCTGTACCGGTGGATCCTCCAAGAATACCCCGGATTCTGGGAGACCCTCCGCGCCGAAATGTTCCGCCAGCTGAGGGGGCCCGAGGGGCTCGGCCGCGTAACCGTCACCGACTGGCCGGAGGCGCAGGAGGCCGGGACCCAGACGGAACCGGGCCCCCGCCAGAGCCGGGGCACCCAGGCTGACTGGCCGGGGGGCCGCGCCGAGGACGTCGCGATGCAGACCGAGTCGGGGGAGGTGCGCCGGACCACGCGGTATAGGGACGCGGACACCCAGACGGAAGGGGGACCCGCGGACCGCGAAGAGTTCCGGCCGGAGGAGGCCGCCAGCCAACCGCCGTCCCCGCCGCGAGCCGCTGGCGAGGGTCAACGGGAGAGGAAGCGAAGCCCGCCACCGCAGCTGCCGAAGGAGGCCCCGCCACCCATCGCCCGGGAAAGTACCGACCGGTGGGGGCAGCTGGAGCGTTGTTGCAACTGCGGTTCCGCCACGCACTTCGCGCACTGCCCCAGCCCCCGCATCCGGAAGTTCTGCTACCGGTGCGGCCGGGATGGGGAGGACGTCCGGCAGTGCCCAGCCTGTCGCCCGGGATGGGTCCCCGTACATCCCGGGGAAGGGTCACCCGGGACCGAAGCCGCGTCGCCGCCGAGGACCGCCACCGGGGGGCAAGAAAAAGACCCGCTAGAGGGGTGGTTTGATTTGTTTTTTTGTGTGTTCTTTTTCGCCTAGTCGTATTTTTTTGTTTTGCTTTTGCCGTTATTTTCTTGTGTTGCCGTTCTTTTTTTTCTCTTTGTTGCGCTCTCGCGAAGTCGTTGGTGCCGGGGGAGGGAACGCCGCCGGAGCGGTCCACCTTTTTTTTGTTTTTGTCCCTCCCGTCCGAACCCCGTTTATTATAGTTTAGTATAGTTAAATAACGCGGAATACGTCGCGACGGGGAGGCCCGTCGCCGACTCACGCCAGAGAGTTTTTTGTTCGTCTTTCTCATCCCGCGCGTGGCTACGCCGCCCCAGAGGCCGCGTCTTATGACGACCGCACTAGCGGCAAATAAACAGTAGAAATTAAGTTGACCGCGTATCCGAGTCGTGTCTGTTTCCTTTTTTTGGTCCCTTCCTTTCTGTTCCCGTTCCCTTTTTTTCTTTTCGGCCGAGATAAGGGGTCTTTCCCAGGCGCCCGAGTGCCCTGGGATAATTGCCTTCTTCGCTTCGTTCGGGGCCTCGCGGTTGCGCGCGCGATGCCGCGGGGGTTGTCGTGAGACGCCGCGAGATGCGACACCCCGGGAGGATCCCGCGAGGGGGATGGCCGGGCCGAGCGCGGTCGACTCGGAGGCAGGCGGCTTGCCGAGGGCTATCTTCGCCGGTGCGGCTCCTCTTGGCGTGGGGGTGTTGTGACGTGGCGGATTAGCTGCCGCGTGTCAGCTCCCCGCTGCCGTCCCGGGGCGCGGTGTCGGTCCGCCCGGGAAAAGAAGATCCGCGCGAGGCCGTAGGGAAACCTCCCGGGGTCGCAACCACACCTTTTTTTTACTCGCCAGCTTACCCCGAGAACTTGTTTTTTTATTTTTGTATCGCGCCCATCGGGCGTCACCGAGCCGACCTGACCAGCAAGGGGACCAACGGACGGCGTGACCGAGAGGCGAGAGGAGAGATGGAGACGAGGGGCGAGAGCGCGAGGACACCAGCGAGCGGCGGCCGCGGGGAAGCCGAGGGGCCGGACGAAGCGCGAGGCGAGAGGCGCCGACGGACGGTGACCGCCGAGGGGTCGAGCCGCCCTGGAGTCTGGGGCCCGAGTACGCGGAGTCGCACCTGAGGGGCGAGAGACGAGGCGCCAACCGGACCGTGAACCGAGGGGCGAGCACGGGCGGAGGTCCCCGGAAGGTCCGGAGGATCGGCGGAGCCGAAGGACCAACGCGCCGGAGAGCAGGCCCAGGATCGACCGCCCCGGCCCTGCGAGCCGCGCGGGGCGAATTTCGCACCCGGAAGCGCGCGGACAACGATAGCGCCCCTGCGGGCCCGGCGACACGCCGGGCGAGCGGCCCACTGATTGGCGGATCCGCGGCGCCGCTATCTCGCGCAGCCCCTTTTCGCGATCGTAACGAGCGATCGGGTGATCGACCCGCTCGCGCAGGATCTCCCGCTTTCGTTCGCGGATCCTCGCCCGGTTAACTTCGCGTCGGAGAGCGCGTGCCGAGTCGCCGAGCTGAGTGCCGAGCACGCGCCGAGCCCGTGGCGAAAGACGGAGGAGACGAGTGCTGACCGGGACCGCGCCGTGGGACTCAGGGATCGTACCGGTAAAGTGGCCCTCGAGGGAAAAATACTCTTGTAAAAGCCGCGTGCTTCCGAGGGGGTTAGCTCGCGCTCTGGCATCGCGCCGCGTTCGTTTTAGTGTTTCGGGTCGTGGGCTTCCGCTCCAAGGGGGATTCGGAGCCGGCCATTTCGTGTCGCGAGCGGATCGGCGGTGCCAAGCGCGGAAGCTCCCGGGGAACGGCCGTGGAATTATCGGGCGACCGTAGCGGGCGGGTATCGGGTATTGCGACCTCGGAGGGGAGCTTGGAACGGACGCCCCGTGCGCCGTTGTTCGAGCGGGCGTCTTTCTGCCTGCACTGGGGAATTTTTTCGCGGCGGACCGGCACGCCGGGTGTCGGCCGCGGATCACGTGTTGCGAGCGCGAACAGCCTCCCGCAGGGAGACTAGAGAGACCGACGAGAAATCGCGAAATCGCCTCTGCGGAGGCCCTGGCCTATTCTTTTCTTTTTTTGGTTGTATCCGATCTATTAAACCGCCTATGTTTCTCTCTTAACCCGAGTCGAGATTCTTTCAGTGTGTTAGTCTGCGCGTGTGCGTGTGTCTCGTCCCGTCCCGACGTCCCGTTCCCGCGGGCCCGTAATTACGGGATCCTGCCACTCTGCCGACGGTAAAGAGCAGCCGGCCCTTGTCGCGTCGAGGAGGCGGATCCGCGGCGCGCGTCGAGCAGATCGACGCCGCCGCCCCCGTACTTAGAGTCGTCTCGCGGTATAAATTCGACGCCGCCCGCGAGCGTGTCTGGCGCCCAACTTTGCCTCCGTTCCGGCGATCCGTCCGGAACGACGACGGCCGCGTATCGGCCACAGAAGCCGCCTCTTTCTGCGTCGCGCCCGGCGGATATTGAAAAAGGTGTGACAGTACCAACGGAGCACTTTAAAAGTTCTAGAAATATCTCTAGAATGTTCATCTGAATGTGCTACGAATGTACACGAATGTACTGCAAATATTCTAGTAATGTGCTGTAGATATTTCTATGAATGTTCCTGGAATATACAGCAAATATTCCAGTAATGTGCTGTAGATATTTCACCCAAAGAAAAGTATTCTATTTTTTAGTGGTTCCGTCTTGATTTTAGCCGGCACAAATTGGCAACCGGCACTACGCGACACGCGCGCGGGCGTGTGAGCGCCAGCTTCTGAGTATTCACCGACCGCCGCTAGGCCGCGCATGGTGACGGCCAAAAACTCGGAAACAAAATTCAGTCTCACGGGCCTCCTTTTATACCCTACGAGACTGAATTTTGCTTC